TAACAAACGTAAACGAGACAGAGAGGTCGCATTTATTTAGCCTTGTTTCCCTTATTACCCTACTCTCTTTCTCTTCTCTCCTTTCCGCTATTTCAACCCGCCTTTTAAACTCTCTTTCACTGCTCTCCTCTAACATTGTTCCTCCCTCGTTCGCTCCATTTTCTCGGCAGTACTGCCAACAAACACAATTTACGTATAAGCTAGTTGGAAAAAAAAGATTTTTACAAGAATTGAAAGTTCCTGGCACCGAACTCATTTGTATTATTAGTAGAGATTTATGTATTTCGAAAATTTGAAGGAGACGAGGGAAAATAAATAATTTCCTAGGGGTTAAAGCTAATCGTGAGAATAGCTATACCAAGTGCACGAGATAATCTCGTTATCCGACATTTTTTTTTTTTTTTTTTTCGAATAGAAAAGCAAGGGTTAAGGCAAGTGTGCGTGTGTGTGTCACACCGAGCGGATCGACCACGAAACAATTACGTCAAACACGATTCAGTCTGTATTTCACGTTTTACGTAACTTTCACCAAGGTAGAGGTGAGAATGCAACGCGGTATTCTTAGACGCTCGCGAAGCAACAACAGTCTTCGATCGCGACCAAGAGAAATATTCGCAGATAAGAGACGTCGGTTGGTAAGTGGATGTTTTTCACGGAATAATCGGAACACGGTCAGTCAACGTTCTCTGCCAGAGACACGAAATTTTCTGCTTCGTTCCTCGGTCGTTGTAAATTTAGACTCTGCGGTACACCCGGTTCCACGAACCCCAAAGTCTCCTAACCGGCGAACGGAAGCAACAAGAAAGAGGAAACAGCATCCAGACCAGCGAACTTCCTTTCCTCGCTCGAGCGCGATCAGACGGAAAAATCATCTCTGATAAGCTGATAGGGATGGAACAAGCTAAAGTGAACTAGAGCGAGATTCCCTCTGCTAACCTCCGCTTCCACAAAGTGGTCCCAGGGGGGAAAACAATTGCCCACCCCTGGATTAGAATAATCGCACGATAATTAATTATTCCCCTTTCAACCGGGAATTCGTGGAATCCACCGTAAAAAAGATCCCCATTTTGTATACGAGTTCCTTCACGGATTTTTCCTGCTACACCTCGCCCTCGTGCCGAAGTTGTAACATTTCGATCACGTACCGGTGTCTGCTTTCGCGATTTGCGGTATATTTCTTCGAATTCCCAATGACAGTCGCGAAAGCGATAGCGAAATGTACTTACGCGTAAAGAAACGAGAATCGGTTGATTTATGCGGTCGAGACTAGTTCTCTGATCCAGGATTAAAAATGTTAGAAAATAATTTATAGAACTGTAAAAAATAGTATTCTGTTTTAAATGGTGTCCGAATACTTTTGCGGCCCTCTGTACATGATTATTCTAGAAAAGGCGTTCGTTTACTCAGAATCTTATTATTCGGAGATTATAGTATTCGTTGCAACAAGGTATCGATAATCATATATCTCGTTGCATCGTTGTGCAGCCACCTTGTTTCAGGTTTAATGTTAATTTCCTCACGTACAAGTGATACGTTGCATTCCTTCTCTTTCCTCTTTATTGCTGTTTTTACAGTACACGTGTACGTGCAAGAAGGTACCATTCTTCTTCACAGCAGTAATATAATGTATTATGTTTTCAACGAACGATTGTTTGCGTTTCATCGAACGAGAATAAGATCTCCTGCCGAGTGTAAAAAACGTTATTTACATTGTTATTCACGAACATCGAACGAATGATTTCGATGTTACATAATGGTACTTTTTGTTATCATTTCGATAAAATTTATTCAATCGTTGCTTAGCTCGTATCGATTAAAACGACAATTTTGTCATTGATGGAAGTGGGATTTTCTTTTAGAATAAGGAGGTCCGAGTCCTTTCTTGTCCCTTCCTAATTACGCTAGCCACTTCTGCAAATAGCGTGAATTTCTGCCAAATGAGTAAACGAAAATATTTACACATATTTTTGTTATTCCTATAAGTGATGTAGCGTTTCCAAGGAAAATACACTTTGGAATTTGATTTTGTTGTTGTCAAAATTTTGCTAGATGAAATGGTGGGACTGTGGTATTTAAATAACACAAGTGAAAGCTTAGGTATTCGTGGAAGGATTAAGAGCGACAAGCTGTCTGCATATAATTAGACATCTTGGCTGCTGTGCGTTGCTGAACGAATTCATCTAGAACATCTCTTCGAGCATCGTAATTTAAATGACAAATAACATTTTCTTGCGTTACCTGAAAGAAATATGACGAATAATAGAACAAAACTTGTCGCGTATTTATGATTTTTCACGTTTCATTCGTTTTACATTATTCACCGTTTTATTTTTACCTATTGTATCGAATACTAATTGCAATTGAAAGATTAGTCATCTCTAAAAAATAGCACGTATGAAATTGTTAATTAATTTTTATTCGTATCATTTTAATCTGTTAAGGTATTCGCAGTTACTTGTGACGCATTCTTCGACATTTCAATGGAAATCGTGTCAGCCAAGATCAAAGACCTTCCACGTGATCTAGGTTTACTTTTTCAACGTGAAATCGAATGAAACCAAGCATAGAGACACTGGTGGCTGGTGTAATTAGGATTTAATTATGGGCGACACCTGGCGCGCATAGAAACGTAGCTCTCGTTTCTTCTCCAAATAGGCGTCGAACGAATACCGCGCATACTTTGATAATAATGGTTCATTGCACCGAGAAGTCTATTTATATCGGTTGTGCAGTAGTTAACAATTTTCTGGTTCGCCATCGAGTATTTTGCGGTCGTGTCTGATTCACACCTTCGATATTTAATTCTTGGCCGTGAAACGCGACGGAAAAGCGAACGGAAACGATTTCTCCGTTCGTCTTTTTCCTCGCGGTTCGTGCGGGACGTCCTTATTTTCCGAGAACGATGTTTGCGAAATGGTCGCCTCCGTTTAACTGCAACTCGTAATGCAACAGATCATAGGGTCGATCTCGAAGACGTTCAATCTAATTTTTCACGTGAATTCAATCGATCCGCATCACGATGCACAGCCGTGATCCTGATGATCACGCGTACCTTGAATTGGCTGTGATCAGTCGGAAGTGGACACGAGTATCAAACAAATGGAGCAGGGATAGACGCGAACAGATGTACTTAGAGAGATAGGAAGAAACGAACAGTTTACATCTAATATCGGGAACAGCACGACCGCGAAGTCGTCGATTTGAGTTAAATGTTGTGAAACTTGTAAATTACCACGAAATTAATTATTTTTCCTTAAATAAAAATTAGGGAAAAGTGTTGGATTAGCGTAAAACAGTGAAGTAGTTACTTTCAAACCGGAGGTTCGCGGGTTCAAATCTCCATCGCCTCGAATTTTTTTTAATAATTTTTTTTTACGAAAACAATTGTACTTATAGAATAATAATAATATTGATAATTTTTATCATAAATAAATTGATGGTATACTATTTTTTTATTTATTTATCGATGTATACTCGTTTAAAAGAGACACATAGTAATCATAAGCACTTGATACCCAAGAGCAAACGTTTCTGAATATTTATATATTTCTTCTAATCTATCCTTACTGTACATTCAATGAAAATTTAAATGACAATTTTCCTGCTCTTGTGTCGCGTGAATATTCATCGTTACGGTCTCCGATTGAAATGTATCCCCGTGTCAATAGTCGGCTGAATATTTTTCAGAAAGGTAGGGCCAGCCGGATAATAAAAAAAAGTCGAAAGAGCTCGTCTAGTAATTGGATAAAGGAAGCCCCATCGCTTTGTGCCGATCTGCTTTCTGTGTCAGCAACTGCTAGCGAAATTTTCCTGTCGCAGCCGAAGACCTCACGGTCCCTAAGATAACCACCCTCCAAGATAATCTTTTTTTCTTGTTTTCATTGATACGAATTGTTTCCTGATCGATCGTGTCAACCCACATCTTGACGTTTCTCCACCCCGCTAATCACTCGATGTCGTGCAATCGAAACCCGACCACGGTTTGCATAATAAATTGTTTGCACTTATCGAAACGTTTACGCGAAGATCGATTGCCCAGTTTTTTTTTTCTTTCCTGTTCCTCGAACACGGTTCATTTATAACTTCGTTTGTCCTCTGATCATCTTTTCTATTAGTTATTCCTTTATATTCTTTTCAGTGTTCAATCATACGCAAGCATCGCGTCATCTAGTTACGAAACGACTCATCCTCGTGAACGATTTAAGAAAAATATGTCTACGAAATATTCGTGCTAAATAAAAGTTTATTCGTGAATATAGAAAACAATTAAGAAAATTATTCGAAAAGAGATATCAATTATTCGTGATGAATGATTAATGGTAAACGTATACGATAGAAAGTAGATGTAGAACGCGGAGCGTGTATGAAAGTCATTAATATTGAACGAGGAAGATAAATGACGAGCAGAAGAAGAACAAGGAAATCCATGTGATCGACGAGTGCTCCTGAAATAAAGGTTATTTTGGTCCACGGCCATCGGCCACGTTTGATGCACGTTTCCTTGCGAAATCCGTTTTGTATATTAATGGTACAAGCTACTTAGTTAAGAAAAGCTACATCCTGGATTATTTCTGGGGTGAATTCCTCTCAACGTGAAGAAATTTTCGAACGCATGGGTGATGCGTGTTTGTAGCGTTTGCTATCGTATAACAATGAAAATTATGTAAATGAATTTATTCTTCTTTTTTTTTCCTCAATACAATAGATCTCTCGTACAACACTGTAATTTTGAATCTACTGTACGTGTAATACAATGAAGTTTGCAAAATATTTAAAGGCCTTATTTATATTTTCATTGAAAGAAGGTATTTAAGTAGGATTTGAGGATGAATGGATGCATCTTTGAGGTGCAATGACTGCGATCGCGAACACGAAAATTGCTAATGCGATTGTTATCTGTTGTCGCGTGACGAGGATTAATTTGCGGCCTGTGAACGCTATGTAATGACATGGTCGTGCGGGGGTATATTGCGATTCATAATGCTCCTCTTTGTCTCCAGGTTCAGCAATTCCTCAGAGACATGAAGGAGCACTCAGCCTCGTCCCGACTCGAAGGCAGGGATGCGCCTCAAAAATCGCAAAGCAGCGCGGCAAGCCTGATGTCTCTAGGTGCTGACATATCACCCAGTTCTTCCCACTTCTTCGAGGTAACAATCCGAAAGTGTAATAACTATAATTCCCTTGAATACGGAAATTAATCGTTCAGAGTTTACTTTCAGGTGCTTTACGTAGGAAAAATCAAGGTATCGCATCCAAAGGTATCGGAGGCCTTTATCGACGATGCGCTCGTAAGGTTTCGCGTTCACGGTCTTGAGAAATCGAGATTATCGACGACCAATTTCCTCACCGAGTATCAGCGTCAATCAATTTTAACGTCTTCCAATAACAGGAGAAACAGCGCGGTGAGTCAGTGTCACGCTTCACTCTCTCCAGTTTTCTCTCCTTTCCCTAACGATTCAACGCTGTACGAGTGTATGTATTATTGAAATATTATTATCCCAGGAATCGAGCGCCAGCGAGACGGGAAGTATCGAGAATGTCTCAGGAAGCGGAATCATATCAGCTATCAATCCTTTGGGAGTGCCGTCGACGCTCACCGGCTCGGTGGAGACCTTTCCAAAGCCGCAAAATGCCAGCCTAGCGGAGAAAGAGGAACGCGAGGAGAATCGGGATGCCACGAACAACAATTCGATGCATGCGCCAGAAGTGATGCGAAACAGAGCATCCTCGACCGGTAGCGTATTGAATTCCAGAAGAGATTCCATGGTTAAAACCGGCGACGAGCACAACCGTACGATGCTCTTCCAGGTGTGAAATTCACTCGATTCGTTGTACAATAAGCCCCTGTCGAAAGTATATCCTGATCTGACAGTGAATTTCAGGTAGGCCGACATGATTTGAGATTGATCAGTCCGGATAGAAAGCAGGTACTGCTTCATAAACAATTGAGAGATGTAGCGAGCTGCGTGCAAGGCGTGAGAAATTCAGAACACTTTGGTTTTATTTGTAAAGAAAATACCATAGACTGCTTTATCGGCTATGTGTTCAAGTGTCAGTCGGAATCAGTCGCGGATGACCTTGTTGCTGGTGAGTCAAGTTTTATTCTTGTTCAAATTTTTATTAAGTACATTTGTGTCTTGGTATTGCCAGAAACTCATCCAGGTATACCGGTCGGCAGTTTTTAAAATATTTGAATAAAATTGAATTGGATTTGATGTTTAAAAATGCGGTCATTTGTTATAGCTATTTCGCAAGCATTTGTGGGGACCTGTGACGTTACGAGGAAAGAAAGATATCCTGTGATTTCGTGCGAACACTGCCCTATGTATTGGTACAACAAGTTGTGCCAGGAAATCGATGGTAATTTCCTCTCTGTATTTTTCTTGTTTCTTTGATTTACAACGGAATTACGAGCGGCCAGGGATAATGAGTTTGCGTGTCTTTCTTGGCTTCCAGGCCAGAACGACAGAAGAACTCAGAGTATAATCTTCTCGCGAATGGAATTGTTGCCGGAGGACGAACAGGAAATCGTGGTTAACAAATACAAAAGCGCCGAGGCCACTGGCGGCACCGGTACGTCTCTGCGCGAGCAAAATCAGTTTTTAATGAGGCTGTTGCGCGTTCATTGCGAGGCGAAACAAGCGAGACATGTCCACGATACGGCTGAGAATAGGTAATATTATTTATTCATTTTAACATATTAAGTGTCTCTGACTGGGTGGTGTTTTCCAAATAAATCTTATCCTAAATATTGAAACTTCATCGAACTTCTGTGTTTTAAAAAACCTTTATGGCGGGAAATTAAGTAGAGCCATCTCGCGTATGTTGTTAAAAATAAGCTTCTTTGTTTCGTCGATAGGGTGCGCAAAAGTTACATCGTTTTGTAGTTCTCCTTTTAAACACCAGACTGAGCCACATCTTTTGGCGGTAAATTCACCCCCTTTTAATTATAATATCGGGTTGGAAAAACTCTATGTATACTGTTTAAAGAAAAAGAATATCAAAATATAAATCATCTATTAAATTTTGCCAGCCAAAAATTTAAATTTTTGTATATTACATTTATTTTATGATATATTTTACAGGAGTGAATTTTTAAATCAGTACTTAAGCGTAGGTGTTGGAAGCACAATATTTATGAAAGCGAAACGCTCTCTTACAAATAGCTTCGATAATCTGATGAAAAGAAAGGGTTCGCGGGACGACCTTGGTCTTATCTCGCATTTGAGAGATACGAGTCACCTCAATGCTGTGATACAAAAAAGCGGTAGCCAAAGCCCGGAAATTTCGCGACAGTCATCTATCATTGATATCTCACCGGAAACTAGTAGGCCAAGGTCTCTGAGAGTTTCACCTGAACAACAGTTAACTGTGAATACCGGACCAAAGAGTTCTATGATGGACATGTACGTAATACACTGGAAACAATGATATAGTTTAACATCTTTCTTACTGCTACTCACGTTTGCAAATATGTTTCGATAGATTTCTAAAGGTAGGAAATTCGCCAAAAATGTCACCGACAGAAACCGATGGAAACAGTCCGGTCCAGTCGAACAGTTCCTGGAGACAAGCTATATTAAACAGAGTCGTGACACCCAGTAAAGATCACGAGAAAGAGAACGATAAAACCGGAAACATTGGTATTAATAAGACACCTCAGACAACCCCAAAGCGCAGAACGAAACAAGAATTAAGGGATCTGTGGAAGAAAGCAATTAATCAACAGTTAATACTTATAAGAATGGAGAAGGAGAACGCGAGGCTTAGGGGTACAATATCTTGTCCAACCTGTTGTAAATAAAAGACGTGCTAAGATCAGTGTACTTAAAGCTTGGTTTCTGTTTCAGTACGTCAAGAAGAAGCGACTGTTAAGAGAATCAAATTAGAATATGACGAGCTTAGTAGTTGTGCTCGCGAATTGGTAGAAGTATGGGATCTTCTCGTGAGCAAAGAATCGAGGGTTTCCACCAAATGTGATAATCAAATGCTGTTGCACGCTATTAAACAAGGTAAATTATCGGGAAACTTTGTTCTATGGTAGATCGTACTAATTATAATAATTAAACGATTCAGGTGTACCAAAAGGAAAGAGAGGAGAAGTGTGGCAGTTCTTAGCCGAACAGTTTTGCTTGAAACAACCGCCCATAGATACACGCGATTTTCCAAACTATAATACACCATATGATGTGCTTTTGACACAGCTTACGTCACAGCAACATGCAATATTGATCGATTTGGGACGAACGTTTCCAAATCATCCTTATTTTAGTTCACCTCTAGGTCCAGGGCAATTAGCGTTATTCAATTTGTTGAAAGCTTATTCACTTTTAGACCACGAGGTTGGTTATTGCCAGGGACTTAGTTTCGTTGCTGGAGTTCTGTTACTGCATGTAAGTATTATAATTCATATGTTCTAACCGTTTATCGATTTCCTCGACTTTATATTTTTGTATTATTCAATTAGATGTCCGAAGATCAAGCATTTTTTCTTCTACGGCACCTAATGTTTCGAAGAGGCCTAAGGAAATTGTATCTTCCCGATATGGCGGCATTGCAGCTATATTTATATCAATTATCTAGATTACTACACGATAGGTTACCAGCGATTTATAATCATTTCGATAAACAGGAAGTTTCGCCTACACTGTACGCCGCGCCATGGTTATTGACCTTGTTCGCCAGTCAATTTCCACTGGGTTTTGTAACTAGAGTATTTGGTAAATTGATTTACACGATCAGATGAAGTTTTAAGCTCCTGTCTGCGCCTTAGAATTCTAATGTTGATTTATTTTCATTTACCCTTTTAGATTTACTCTTTCTGGAAAGTACAGAAGTACTCTTCCGTGTAGCAATGGCATTATTAGAAGAGCATCAAGATCAATTATTAACGTGTGACAGTTTCGAAGAAATTATGGAGTATCTTAAAGTAAGGGAAATTCTCCTGGCGTGTGTTTCAAGTTGAAAGATAGGTTTCTATTTTTATTTTATTTCTAGACCCGTGTACCAGCCGTGGATAGAGAGGTTTTGGATCGAGTGATGAAACGCGTGTTCTACCCGGACCAAGAGATCACGAAACAGTTGAACGAGTACAGGGTCGAGTACCAAGTGTTGCAGGAAGAAATGATGTCGGTGAAGCCGCAAATGGAAAACTTGGAGAAGTTTAAGCTACTTAACAAACAGCTTACCCAAGAAGTAGCACAGCTGAACGAACAACTAGAAGTAGGATATCCAGGGATCGATCTTATTTCAAGCATAGCATTTCTAAAACTAATTCAACCAAACTTTGTTCACAGATCACCATGAGTAATTTGCATCGTCTGGAGACAGCGCGATCGGTGCAACAATCGACTCTATTAAAACTCGAGTCCCAAAATCGTAGTTTAGAAGTGACCGTTGCTACGTTGGGTGCGTTTATCCAACAGTTATCCGAAACCCGTCCCGACATCGAGTTTCCCGGAGAGATTCGTAGAATTATTGCACAACTGAGCATTGCCGAGAAACGAAAGAACAGTATTGTCCGATCTTATCCCTTAAAGTTGATCGAGGACAATACTAAACTGGGAATGATAAAAAGCAATTCGACAGGTAGAGAATCTCATAATTTCATGAAAAACAATATCACCGTAGAGACACCTTATCCTTTGAAATCTACATTGAGCCAACCGAATTTAGCTACCAAACTCGAAAGGGTTTCGTCATTCTTCTCCAATTCGCACAACCACATTCAGAAGCAGCGAGCTCAGTTAGCCGCTCTTAGAAACGAGTACGCTGAACAGACTATTCGGAACGACGAGAATGATCCAAAAACTGTCAATATAGATATACAAATCACCGATGCGATGAACTCGACCAACGAGCAGGTGGCGCAGAATGATAATCATCTAAAGGTTCAGGCGGTGAACTTGGAGAAATCCGCGTCGTTGCCGCTGAACGCGAAGATGAAGCTGAAGTCGTCGAAATCGGCTTACGAATTGGGCTCGATTAAGAAAGTACCAACTACCAAGTTAGAAGTCACAAACGACGATGATGTGACTAACTTAACCGGAACAATACATCCTTTGGATACTTGTAGCGACGTGAATTTCAGATACGGTGGAACGACGAAGTTGAAGTCGATCAAATCTACCAGACTTCCAAGCCCAAGCGGTCAAGATGAAGCTGTGAGCAAGAATGCTCAGAATCAAAACATGGAAACGTTGAACAGATAACAATTACTTATGATGTTACGCTCAAGGAAGATACCTTGGAAGGTAACTAACTTGAGAAAGGTATATCCAAAAAGCTAATTGTTAGCAACTGTATTATACGCTCGATTCTTTACCTCCACCGTTTCATACTGCATTAGTTATCTTGTATACAACAGTTTTGATACGATGATGATCGATTTTCATTTTTTAACAACCGTGTCTGTTTAACTGACCGTCGACCGAAACGCTGACACTCGCACTTCCCTTTCGCGGTACTTATACCAATGATTTTTAATATCTTACGATGAATGGAAAACAAACCAAGTCAATTTATAATATATTATACAGATTTGACAAATTGTCAAGGTTAGCTGAATATTTTAGTATATAGGTACATGTACATAAGAAAAGAAGATAGAAAGGATTCGTGCGATGAATGAATAGCTATTTAAAAAATATTCATCTAATTCGTATAATTTATATTAATCTTGACGTGTAGGAAAAAAATAAGAAATATCTACTTGAATATAACGTAACAGATATGCTGAGGATGAGGGATTTCTTTTAAATGACAGTAACACAAAAATATTAGATCTGTTGAATTCTGGTGAAACAACAGATTTGTAAATATTCCGTAAAGTATAATATATTAAATTTCGTCGTTTTGACGATTATCATTGTGTTACTGATATAAGTTTCTTAGAATTCAACAAATAGAGAATCATATCCATAATGTAAAGTAAGTATCAAATTGTACAATATCGAGCGAAATAGGCTTCGAATTCGATTAAGAAATAAATATTAAACAAAAGACTAAAATATTTTTTATTGTTAGCGTATAGTTACCCAGTATTTTTATTTATCAATAAAGATACTAGTTTTAATAAACCAATTGAAATTTTTGACAACCTTTTAAAGCTGATTATAAAATTTAGCTAACAATAGGAAATACATCTTATGTTTTTTAGTTCAAAGAAATTCCTAATTACTTTTGTGTAAATCGTCGAGAGAAGTGCCAAACTTTCCCAAAAAAAGAAAAAAAAAAAGAATTGTGGATAGTGAATAGAGAGTAAGTCTTAAAAGTATTGTCTACAGTTGGAGGTATATTTATAAAATACAATTTATAAGATCATTGTGCACTACATAAGATTCAAGGAATCAAGTATTACTATTTTTGCACAAAGGAAAGCCTTGTGATATCAGGGATATATTTAATATCATTTAGCATTCTTATAATTAATCGTTACCATTTTCAAGAATATACCGATATAAATTGTAAAAATACTCAGTAAATATCGGTGGCGAATGTTATCATATATTTCATTGACGATTAACTGCGGATCTTCTCATTCAACGGAACAACAAATATTTTCAATCTCACAGATAATACTATTTCGTAGTGAACAAAGAATGTTCAACAAATGTTTATATAGTGTATCATTAGGAACGATAAAATATTTTGTAGTATTCAACTTTATATCTTCCAAGTAGTGATTTGTACGAATAGGTTACTAGAAATTATAAATTGTGATTGAGTATAGAAATGGGAGTAATGTTAAAATATTCATAGTTTTTATGCACATGTTACTGTTAGTATATATGTAGATATTGTATTGTTTTAATGAATATCGGTAAGAATAAGAGATAGTTGTGAACATCGTTTGTTCCCCACTTAATTTTATTGTGATAACAGTCAATTTATTTAATTAAAATAAACGTACTTTGAGTGAGAATACAAAGTACCCCATCGAGATGAAACAATATCGTTCATATTGTTTTATAATACACATTCAAAACACTGAAAATTATACCAAAAAAATTAATTTTAAACGAAGTTTCAAAAGATCTTCCTACCAAATATAAATATTTGGGCCATATCATTCGTAAAAAATAAAATTTCATTATAACGATTTGTATGATGTATAAATGAAATAAATTGTTAAAAATTAATATTATAAGCTATCAAACAATCGATGTGTTTAAAAACAATGAAAGAAGGATATAAAAGGGATTTAGCCTCGTTTATAAATTCACATACTTAAGTGTTACTTTATTACCATGTATTTCGTTTTAACAAAACAAAAAATAGGTGCAATGCCTTTATTTTACGATGATTAATGTGTTAATTTATCTGAAAAACTGTACTGATACAAGATTTCTTCCTGCCTGTATATTATATACAATTCTGATTCAACTTAGCTTTAAAACCTTTAATGCTTCGACTTTGATATGCTAGTCCTGAAAAAAAGAAATAATTGTAACATTCATGTGACAATGTCTTAAATCACATCTTATTACGTAACGATATAATACGGAACAATCTTACGTTTGCATCTGTTTGCTTCCACTGAGAACTATGTACGGTGATTGAGTTTCCTTCTGCTTCGCTTGTAATAAATTAAGCGTTCCAAGAGGTGTATCCGTCGAAGACATACGCTTCATTAGGACTTCTTGTTCCGCCTTTTTCATTCGCTTTTCAACCTAGAAATTAGAAAATTATACAGTCGTAATGTCTATAGTTTCAAAGTGGACACAGAATGTAGAAAGAAGCTCAGACCTTATTTTTCCCCGGACCTTTTCCGTGGAACTTGTGCGAAAGATATCTGAAAGCTTCCTTTGCACTCAAAACGTGTCCATCGTCGTCGATGTACTCCAATTTCACGTTAGGTTTGAAACCATCTTTTTCCTTGAATTCTGAAGTTGGACCATTGAATCGATCTCTTCTGCCAAACTTATCGTCATCTCTAAACGGAAAAAGATGGATGAAATAATTTGAACACGATATAAATCAAATAAGAAGTTATATTAAGTATAGAAATTTATAGTAGCCCATGGAATTCGGTGTTTCGAAATTTACGTTACCGAGAATATGTAGTAATTAAAAATAGGCTATTGAATTTTTGAAGATACATTACATTATGCGATTAAATCAACACGAATCTAAACAAGTCAATAAAAATTAATTTATTGTGCTATTTCCCGTAAGGAAGATTAAATTTGATTTGAGAATTACAGAAAAAAAAAGATAACTCTATGAACTTCGTCATATTTTGTATGTTGAAACATGCAAATATAGTATAAATGAAACCATACTATCGTTGAGTAGATATAAGAAATTATTTTTATATTTAATAAATTAATATGACTGATCCGTACCGGACTTGTCTAGAACAGTTGTATGTATCTCGCTGGCGACAATAGAATCGCATAATATAAACATACCTCAATTAATCCTACTCTCTTCTCAGGCCTTTGATCATCTCCGACAAAGTAGTTAACTCTTGCGGTAGCGGATCATCCATTTCCAAGCACCGAAATCAGGGCTCTAATTACGACTGTTAAACTAACAGTGAAATTCACTAGAGACTTGTCTAATAACATTCGTTTGGAATGGATTCAATAGAAGAATATTTCTTACAATCGTTTTCTAATCAGAATTATCATTTGTGAACGTGTTGTAAGAAAGCTTCTTATATTGAACAATAGTTACGTTCCATACATACCCGTAAGTTTTGTCTTCTATCGAATAATTCTGAGCCTGTAAGTGCGCGAAACGAGACGCAGACGGTCTACTACTATCCTCTTTTTGCAAATAACCTTTACTCATTGCCAATTTTAATGCACCACCGACACCGTGTCCAAGCGAAGGTTCCGCGTCTAAAATCGCAGCTTCCATCGCTACTGGCTCTGTTATACTTTCATCTGTCCGGAAAGTACAATAGTTTATAAGTATTTTACAAATAATTGTAGCCCATATATGTTAAGATTATGAAACGATACCTAATTGTACAGTATTCCAGGCGCCACGACCATCATCCTCTTCATCATTTATTGGTGGTTCCTCTTTAACTCCATCCATTTCGAAATCCATAAGTTCCTGCCCATTTTCTTCTCTGTTTCCGGCAAGTCCATACGTTGGAATGTCTCCTAAAGTTCTACAAAATTCTGCTGTAGCATTCAGAACAATATTCCCAGACTGATTTTCCTCAGAACTAAGGGGTTCATGTTTTACAGTTTCAGCAACTTTTTCGATATTTGCCAAATGTGATTCTTTCAATCGTTGAGCTTTTTTCAGTGCCAACTGAAGCTCTACTTCTTTGTCATCTTCCTCCAACTTTACTCCGCTAAGATCTTCAGGAGGTGCTATATTTGAAAAGTGGGAACAATAGGTTACACGTTAGATATATAATATAATTATTAGAAATTTGTGCGAAATACCTTCTAAATCGTCCACGTCTAAACTGTCGTTATCTTTTGCATCCTTAGGTCGTTTACTTCTCCTGCTACCTAAGTCGCGAAGGTAATCGTTATCTTCAGGAATCAAGTCCTCTGCTTTTAATTTCTTCCTAATTTTTCGAACCTTTTTCTTCGGTTTCTTAAACTTTGCAAGTTCTTGATCATTGTAATATTCGCTAGCTAGTTTTGGCTCTGCTAGGATCAATGATTCTAGTCGTTTATTAGCTAAACGCTGCTTAACGTAATCGAGTTTACTCTTATTATCTTTGATATTATTAGCTCCCAATACAAAAGATTCTTTCTTCTCGCCTTCGATTTCTTCATCATATTTGTCTAAGATACTTTTCTTAGGTAAACCAAATTCATCAAAGTTATCGTCATCGTATGCATCATAACCAGGTTTCTTAGTTTTATTTAGAATATTACGCTGATAACGTTCTTCGTCTGTTATATTCACATTGACGAGCACGTCGTCGTCGTCTTTCAATACTTCCTGGTCTTTTAAAGTCAAAATAACTGTTTTACCTTCTTCAAACTTTTCCTGTAAAACATCAATGTTAATTATTAGAGTATTTCTTCTGTAAGAATAATTGGAAAATCCGAATCCCATAGATAAATACTTACAATATCATGCTCTACTTTAAGACCCTTTAAATTTTTTTCGGTATAAGCTGTATTTCGAGCAGCGTGTATTTCTTCCTTGACTAAATTTCCAATACCAAATTCCTCATCCAACTGATCTAACATTTTTGCCTAATGAAAATTAAAAATTAGTTAAAAAACATGTAAAATGTTTAAAGCATTTCAAAAATTACCCTTTCTTCTGCTTTCTTCTTCTCTTCCACCAAACGTCTGGTTCTATCAATCCAAGCCTTAGCATCATCATCAGAATCACATTCCCCTAAGCTTTTTATTTTTGCTAGATTAGCTTCAATAAGCCTTTTCTGCTTTTGAGTACCAATTTTCTCCTTCAATTTTTGTGACTTTAACTTCTCATTAACATCAGGAGCAGGTTTGTGGTAAAATTCTCCCAAATCATCTTTGATCTTATTAGGATCATCTTTTGAAGTACTATCAACCTCTAATGGTTTTAAACCTAATTTTGCTCGTAATTTATTAGTTTCTTCAATGGATAAAGAACTCTGAGCTGCACCACCTTTGACCGGTGAAGGACTATGCTGCTTGGAAATTTCAGGAGGTGGAGGTGTTGATGGATGTGATGACTTAGAGATTTTTGGTGGAGGAGGTGCATTAACTATTTCAACTGAAATAAAATGAACAAAGTATTAACTGACATTAGACATAGTATGTTCATCATAGTAAATGCTTATGTACCTATGCAAGATATAAATATTATTCGGTTTAATCCCCTTCAAATTATTTAATCTCGTATTCAACACTGATAAGTACATTTCTGCGGATAAAACGCGATACATTTTCAACATGAGGGAAAAGAAATTGTTAAGAATAAATGAAAAGCATATCTCGAATAACCGCTCAAACATAACTACAGTTACGAGAGTTGTAAAAAAAAATAAACGATATTGAGAAATGCATTGCATAACGTATTTGTATATCTTAGAAAGAATGAATCTGATAATAACCATCGCTGTCATAATCCTTGCGTTCTTTCCTTCTATGCTTTTTATGATGCCTGTGCTTATCCGTTTTCTCGCGTTCAGGCGTATAGCTACGTGAGCGGCTTCGGTGCCGCTTCTTCTTAGTATCCCGGCTCTTCTCTGTTTTATGCCGTTTATTCGAACCCATTCTTATCTTTTCAATGAACTTTTAAAATGTACGATGCACTGTTTTATCAAAAATCTAAAACTCGATAAACTTTATGCATCGATAATTACTGATACTGTCCACCATCTTTTCGATGAGTAAGTGATAGCCAGTGACTGTGACTGGACATGCCTTTGTTCTATAGGATCATGATTCTGGGGTTCCCTAGTACCCATAGATATTTATTGAAGTGCGCTACAAACATTACCAACCCCAGAATAGTGATTTAATCTTTTCTGTAGTGGTTACATTGATGGTTACAATGTAATCTAACCTTGATGTTCTGACGTTTAGAAATTTGACGGCGGCGTTATTGTAAAAATGTAATGCATTGTGAATAATTTAATTCCTTCATTTCTTGCATATGAAAGGATATTACGTTTAAACGGAATGCGCAATGTGATAATTGGTCTAGGTTTCTTTTGCAATCATTTATTTTTAGCACAAGAATTTCTTAAGAGACAAAGCTTTCTTCTCATCAGCTATATTATTTTACGAATATATAAACACAGGTATCGCAGCTAGCAATATCTTATTGAATATTTTTAACGTTATATTGCGTGATCCCAAAAATTATTAACATATCCTAAATATTAATTTGTGTTTAAATTTCTTTATAACTAATGTATAATAAAACTTATTATTATAGAAATTTAATAATTGTATATCATTTATGGAATATAATTAATGTTTGCAAAGATTTTCTATTAAAAACATGATGATATGATATTATATGTTTTAGGTAGTACTAAGATCAATAAGAATCTGAAATATAATGATCTCAGAAATTGGTACAGAAGGCTTTCAGCCAAGAGGGCTATCAGAAGAACGCCTGTTTAAGTTGCAATGTTTGATTAAAGCAACAGAAATACAGCACAGTGCTCAATGTGAATACGGAAATAAACTATTTTTAGCTCTTACAACTGGGAATGCTGAAATTTTTTTATATTACAAAAAGGATTCTACATCTGCTCCAATAATTAAAAGAATTCCTTGGTTCCAAGGATCTCACAAACAAATTTCAGCTTTATGTTTTCACTCTGTGGGATCATGGTTGCTCTCTGCAAGTGTTGATGGCTCTGTATATATTATTCCTGCTTTGTGCTGGGTTGATGAAAGTTATGATAGAGATAGAAGATGGACCAGTGATGATATAACTTCTTTTCCTTCTATTAGTTCACAATCTTCCCATTCAAAGTACATTTTATATATAAATTTTACACTAGATGTAATTTTATCTCTCATAATTAATACTGATTCCGATTTACAGACCTACAGCAATAGTATGGTGGCAAAGCTCAGTAATACCTGCTGAAATTGGTATTATTGGAACTGAATATGGGGAGATTTTATTTATAAATCTCGAAACTGGTCACCAAACGAGCGTTACACAAGTTAAAGGAAATATTTCCAGTTTGCACATTTGCCATGATCAGAGTAATGACATTGTATCTCTCTTAATAACAAGCCAATCCCGACGGCAGTGGCGATTACTTTTAGAACAGCGAACATATAGCTGTTTGCATCATTTGGAAAATGGGGAACCATATAATGTATTGCACACAAATGACAACATGTACGATAATACAAAAATATTTGCTTCTACTAGATCCAGACTGCAAGGACTCAAGCAGTTGTCTGTTGACAAACTTGCTATACTTAGACAAAAGTTGATAGAAACAAAAAGTCAAGCTTTAGGAGAAAATCTGCAATATCATGGTCTGCAGCATTCATGATAAATAATATAATACAACTAAGTGTTGTTTAAGATCACTAATGAATCGATTGATTTTACAGATATTACAAGTAACAGAAATACTCACAATATAACTATTCATTCTGATCCATCTACAGAGGTGAATCAAAATCAGATAACACCTGAATTAATGTCATCAGAAGTGTTTCTGATGTCTCAGTTTGACAGAGAAGGCCAACAATTATATACATGTTATCATTCTCTAACAAATCAAATACTGGTAAGGAAATATTTTTTAATCTATAGAAAACGATGAATGTAATACTGAAATACCTTTATAATTACAGGTATATGGACCTAATTTTAGGCCTCTATCAGCACATAAAGTAGTTGAATCTTGTAGAAACGTTTTATTAACTCAACGTTTTCTTTTTATTACTGACGCTAGTCAGCGTGTAATGTACGTGATATCAGACAGATTATCCGAAAATCGTGATGTTGATAAAAGTGATATTGGGAAGTTTAATCCAGAGTGTATCGTTGGTTACTTTTCTTTAGCAAATAGCAAAGAAGTAATACGTGCCGTGTACAGAGCTATCGATTTCACTAACAATGCGCCAACACCATCTTCCGATGATACAAGAAATAAATACACGTTACCAAAGGGAATAAATGATATTAAAATTGAATTACCTCATGTAGATACTTGTATAATTGTAACAAATCATTCTGTGTATAAAGTTGTTCTAAGGTTGGTATTGTACTTTCAATTTTCATATTTCATCGATTTAGATCAACGGGTTATCGTTAATAATCTTTCACTTTAAGGAAACCAATATTGTCAATTTTTATGGAATTAGTATTGCAAAACAATGAACTTGAAAAAGCAGCAAAATTGGCTATAGTATTTGGCATTAATGCGCAACAGTTGTTAGAGCAAGCTGGTGACATACTTTTGACAAACAAAGACTTTCCACGAGCGGTGGCTTGTTATAAATTGTCTAAAGTAAGTAAAAATAATATCAAGATTTAGTTATGTGTATCCATATATAATTCTTGAAATTACTGTTTCCAGTGTAGAATAATGAAGAGTATGTTGAAATTTGCATCTGTTGGATATACAGCAGATTACACATTACGTTGTCTCACACACTGTTTAGCTTCTCCAGCTATTAGTGAGCTACCTATTGCATCAAGAATACATCTTTCTAATTTGTGTGTTCTTGCCTTTATCGAACGTACGCTTAGAATTTCATCTCAAAAATCTAAAGCGATATATAAGGAGTTTTTGTACGTATTTTATTAAATATTTGATACATGTGTTGGTACATTATATTAACAAAAATTATTTATGTTACAGATATTTCTTATCTACGAATTCTTTTTACGATGAATTGTTAGCGGTTAATATTGCAGGACAAACGTGTCTTTGGGAAGTGTTGCATCATCTAGCAACACAGAAGGGTCTTTATGGACAGATGTTGGATATACTTATGAAGACAATATATTCTTTCAGTACAAGCAATTTCTATCCAACACCATGTAATGTATAATAATTACAATGATCATAAAATTATTTGAACACACGTATTGCGTCGCGAGAATTAAACATTTCATGAATCATTTCAGATGGTTTGTTAATATGTATAAGTGAACCAAATTTAATGCAAGCAATTTTAGTAAATCCTGAGTTAGCTAGAAGTCATATGTCATTTATTGTTGATAATCTTCAAAACTCTCAAATTTTTGTACTTCAGGTAAAGCTTTAATCCTTCGAAAAAAAGGTATTCATTTCAACAACTTAATTTAATTTTTGTTAAATGTTTAGAGATTGGTCACACTATACGATCCAACGAATCCAGTGATAAGACCTAGAATAGTGCGATGTAGAATACGTCATAGAACTACTTCGTATAGTTCTCAATCTAGTCAGTGTGATTCTATAGATCTCGTGGAAAATGTAAGTATAAGTTGTTCATTAATCTGAATTCATTCTTTATACCTGTTTATACTCTAATTTCTTCCATAGGATGAGGCTGACACATTGATAGAAGAAATTATAGAAACTTTTTTACTAATTTTACTGACTTTGATTTATAAAAAATCTATTTTACATCAAGAAACTTCTCTTACGTGTAATATTGAATTATTAAACGTTAAAAAGGTAATTATCACATAAGCTGTTCTGTATCTTATATCAGTAGATAATCGTATATTTCTGTACCCATTAAAATAGGATAGGAATAATACTACTTATGGTGCTGATTTCAAAAGAAGGCCTTTATGTGCTGGATTCTCTCACGTTATTCTTATTAGAAATGGTAATGTTTACACATGGGGAAGTTCTGTACAGGGACGTTTAGGTAAGCATACGTACAATTATAAAATGTATCATTTGTTATTTCCAGTGTGCTTATATTTTATGTTCTTAATCATTTATAGGAACTGGTCCATCTGTATTGAGATTTGGCCCTCCACAAGCTATACCCTTTTTTCGGATCATGGAAGTCGAAGTTCTTAGCGTATCCTGCGGTCATTGTCACACTTTAGCAATGACTAACAATGGTGTTTATGCTTGGGGATCAAATCAATTCGGTCAGTTAGGTCTAGGCAAAATTTTACAATGTTCGTCACCCGAATTAGTTACTTATTTGGCTCAAGAAGTTATTATCGATGCCGTGGCCGGTCAATATCATTCTGTCGCGTTGACATCGGATGGCAGAGTTTTTACATGGGGCTGGGGAGTCCATGGCCAGCTGGGCCATGGTAATACCGATAAAAAGATGGTTCCCACGTTAGTCACATCTTTACTTGGTACAGTTATACGTTACATTAGCGCCGGTCATGCACATACACTAGCCCTTTCAACAGAGGGTGCGGTGTACGCGTTTGGTTGCAATATTTTCGGGCAACTGGGTGTAGGGAATAATGTTAAAAGTTCAGTGCCAATAAAAGTCTTATTATCAGAGAAAATATTTCTTATTGCAACTGGATATTTTCATAACGTAAGTGGAGTTCTTTATCTTGTTTTAATTCAATGTTATCGCATAAACATAATTTATACATATATCCTTATACTAGCTCGCCGTTAGTTACACAAATAAGTTATACGTATGGGGAGCAAGCCCCCAAGTTCTTCGATTGCAAGCACAAACACAAAAGAGGGCTCGAATATTGGAGCAACGAGACAATATTATAAAACAGTTTGAAAATATTGATGAATTTGAGAAAGTCCCGGATCAAGCGAGTATGAACGACACGAATGAAGAGGTTTTCGAAGGCAATGCACAAAATAAAGATGCACAAGTTAAATCGACGGAAACTAGTCATTCGGAGACACGGAAAAAGCAATTAGATAACGTTTGTCTAAAGAGTGTAAATGTTGGGTCGATCGAAGAAGTCCAAACACATTTGAAACCAACAATAGTAGATACAAGTTTAGTAAGAGGGGATATCATACAGGTTTGTGAAATGATTTTTAATTAAACTTGTTCTTTGACAAACAAGATTATCATTTTCTTTAACAACATTTTGAACAGATATCGACCGGGTGTCATCATAATGCCCTCGTAACGAAAGACGGATCGCTTTATACGTGGGGTCGTAATTTAGATGGTCAAATAGGCGACGGTAGCAGAAGGGAAATACCAATTCCCACTCCATTATGTTACAATCCTGCTTCTGTCTTTGCACAAGTACCTCCAAGACATAATGCTTACAAACGAGGAGACGAAGAACAAGAATTTGATGGTGGATTAAAGACGTCCACAATGGGAGAAAGACATAGAAACTCGAATGATGAAAGTAAACCATTTCAAACGGAAAACAATGAATCTAGAGAAAAAGTAAATCCTATAATTAAAACTGTTGGAGTCTGTTGCGGTTATGATTACACGGTTGCCATTCAACCAGGTATATACGTTATATAATTTATTATTCAATTAATAAAATTCTAACTAATTCTTATATTCTTTTTCAGGAGGTACAGTTTTAGCTTGGGGTAATAATAGCAGAGCGCAATTAGGCCGGGTTCTTGCAAAAGATACACGCGAGAACGACGATAAACTTGTATTAATTAAAAAACGCGTTGTACGACTACCCCATACTTCGCATAGAGCTATGGAGGTGCCTAGTCAAGTTCCTAACATTCCTGCACCCATTATTTCTTATCAGAGTTATGATGTACCTCCTCTTGCGGGTGTTATTCGTCCTTTAAGCGTTATAGAAAAATCATCAGGAGAGTTAACGCTGCATTATGCATTAGAATATTTCTCTGGTTTATACGATTCTTCAAGAATCATGGATAAGGTTGGTTTATTATTTCATGTAATTCATAAAACTGTTGAAGTAAAACAATGAAGTGATATATCCTTATACATTTTTAGTGTATTGAACTGAGTAATTATCAAGCTTGCTCAAAGATAGCTATGCTGCAACATAATATTTCTGAAGCATTCTCATATCAACTGAAAATTTTACACCTAATGAGTATTCGCTCTTGCTCAAAAACAAAGTCTGAACATTTACGTGAAAAGGCAGAATGTAAGACGGCAGAGGATACTGAAATAAAAACAAAGTCTTTAAATCATAACGTTAAAAAGAATACTGAATTATTTAATAAACAAGTGGAAAAGAATTTAATCGATTCTGTCGAGGATTGTGCTGTTAGAAACAAACTGAAAATCCCAGCGAGTAAATCATTGAATAGTTTACAGATACTTCAACAAGAATTGTACACATTTGATTGTCAAGGTGGTTTAGAGGAATTATGCAAAGACGCGAAGTGCGAAAACGCACCTTCAGAAATTTTTGAAAACTCTTACGATTCTGATGCTAATTCTGAATCAGATGAGTGGGTGGAAAATCTTGTTTTGATGCAAGAAAAAGAAAGTAGAACCGAGGACAATTCAGTATCCTCTGCTGCTATAAAAGAAGCAGCTGAACAAAATCAACTGTACAAAAGCAGTGAAAAGAAAATTTCATGCTCTCGACAAAACAACCTCATCAACGAAGCCGTTAAAGTGATTAAATTTTTCTTAAACGAAATGGAAAGTGAACCGGATACGACCAAGTGCAAAATATTGCAAGATACTCTTGATTTCTGGATTGAACATGAGTTACCTATACAAAGCATAGAAAATGTATTTTTAGAGCATATTGAATCAATTTTTTACCCTCTTGGATTATTACTATTCTGGTAAGTAGCTACATTGTTATTCAGAGCTTATTTATCAGAATCAATTAATTATTATAATTCCCACAGTCAAGAGATAATGGATAAATATTTGGACACAAATAAGAATGATACAGAAGTCAAGAACTCTACTCTGGTTAATTTATTTTCTGTTAAATTTTGCCTTCAAGTGTGTTCTATGTTATTGAATCATATTGATCAAGGTAAACTTGTATAAACGATTTTAAACGTGTTTTATATTACACTTCTTGTAAATCGTTTTTGTATCACAGATGAGCCTGCACCCGAATTTATCAAGCTGTTATCATCTTTAACTGCTGATCATTATGGACCACCACTCACTGGATATCCAGGTTCGAGTGGGAATAATACTTCGAAACAAATGATAGAAGGGATTATAAGTACTGTGTCTTCTAATACTCACGATTCTAGATCATTTGTACATATTAAGGTGAATTACAAATATTCCTGTAGGCACGAAAATAATTAAAATAAATACTAAAAAAATGTACATTGTTGAAAATTAGGATCCAGACACAGTGTATCGATTTCTCGCTGCTGAAGAAGATACAATGGTATTTACGTGTGGACATCATTTTCCATTGTCTACCTACAAAACGGAAGTGATTTCAACAATGGAAACTGAGTTACTGACATCTGAATCACTAGTTCTTCCATGTACAGCTCAGTATCTAGGAAAAATGTTATTTCAAACGTCTAAACCAGAAATATTGTGTCCATTGTGTATACCACGAGCATTGGAAACGTTGGTGAAAAAGAATAATGGGTGAGAAGTATGTACCTGAGATTTTATTTAGAAGAAACTGGTATACAATTTTTTTTCTTAGGCTCTTAAAGAACACAAATTATGCATATAAAGTGAACATTAAAATTAATTTTAGTAGACTAAAATATATTAAAAGTACTGTAATCTAGTTAGATTAATAACTAAGTATGAAATGGACAAAATACTTGCCATTGCAATTCGAACATTTATTCAACAAACATCACAGAATATTGTAAAGGATTAAAGCTCTCTATATATTCCAAACCATATTTTTTAAATTATCTATATATACAGGTAACTATTCATAGACACAAAAATTTATTAAACATATTACTGAATATAAAAAAAAAAAAATACTATAGTGCACTAATTTTTATATTACTTAAAGACTTTTGTCTTATTAAGTATCATAATTCTTTGATTACGCACATTGAAATTGAACGTATTGTACTGGAAACAGATCTTATGTGTTCATAAATCGTTGGTACTAAAAGGTACTGTAAGGTAATAAGAGGAGCTAGATTATGAATTGATATTTTTGTTTTTGTATATTGTTTAAGTTCATGAGCATCACAAAATCAGAAAAATTTTAATTAAACGCGTGACTTCTGATTAGTATACAGTATAATAAATTTCGTTATAATTAGCACTATAATTAAAAAAATTAATTAATTCAAATACAACGATAAATATAAGAAATAACGAACTAAATATTATTTCTCTTTGCAGCAATTTGTAGTTTGCAATGACTAAAAATTTGAGTCTTATTAGAATTTCAATCTTTGGTTTATAGCATAAAAATGGCTATAAAAAACATGTTACCCAGGTGTGAGGTTTATTAACCAAATGCTAGTTGTTGTGAAATATAATATACAATTGTACAGTAGTTATATTACATTAGAATTGTATAATAACGGAACACTAGAGAATGGATGCAGTTATCTAAAATTGGTGCAAAATACTAAGGACTGAAAAAAAAGTACATTCATCTAGTCTGAAAAGTATATGCCAGAATTATATAATAATTAATCATGGTAGAAGTTTTATTAATACAGGTATATATTAAGTGATCTTTTTTTTTTTGAAGTTACATTTACTTTTAATTAGATTAATATAAGAATATGGTAGGAAAATAGAACTAATATATGTGTATAGAATACAAATTTATAACGTAAACAAGATTTTTGGTTACAAATGGAACAGGCTGGTAGAAATGTTTTATTGTCTTTTAATGGTAGAATTGCATGAAAGTGAAAATATAATAGAAATATAATATTATATGTCAGAGATCTTCATCATGATTTCAGTAACCAAATAGGAAGGTTTTAGGCATTAATCAATGCAAATTTTATTATAATTATGTTAAATTATAAACTGCCGAATATTTTATCAACTTAATAAATATAATGTAACATATTAAATTTAAATGATTCATGTTAGTTATTTTAACTGGTCAATATTTTCTTAATTAGTATGCTACGTGAATCAATTTGTAGAGGATTGAAAACTCTGAAACAGGGAACAGTCGTTGAAGAAAGTGCAATATATGAAAGGAAAATCGCGTTGAATAAAATCTAAATCCTTCTGTTCAACAATGGTACATTTTCCTATTAGTTATTCTTTTAAATAAACGATATACCTATATACTATATTTTCGACCTGCAAGACAGTCTTCCACGTCTTGTTTCTCGATACGTAACATACGGGTATGATATATTAAAACAAATATTCAATTTATCACGAATAAATTCAATGGAATTTGTTTGTGATAAAATGTATCATGTATCTTTCGACATCACTTGCGTAATTATTTTAAGTATCGTATCAATTACGAAACGTATAACAAATTAATTGAAATCAGATGTTTTTCATTAAATTTCAATGAATTTGTTTAATTATACGAACCGCAATAATGATGTAACATACGTACGTATATCCGAATGTACAGTTTTGAACGTCTTATATATTGAAGTCTTTCATTGATAGTACTTAGACAATTAAAAATATTGGATCAATAAATATGATTAGCAGAACAATTTATCGAGTTTTATTTCAGATTAAGCGAATTTAATTCTGTCGTTTAATTTCTACCTCTTTGATTTTTTAGGTGGTAAGGGAGGAGAAAGAAATACGAAGGAATCCTTTCCTGCTTTTTCAAATGTTTTATTTAAAAACTTTTATCCAAAAAATACATACGTTTTCCATCACAATCAATGAATTCATTTTACTTGACATTCATCAGTCATAGAAGGAAGAACTCCTGCCAAACATTCGTCTCGGCGATGAAAATGATGAGAAATAAATTGAATGAATGATGTATTTAATATTCAACTCAGAAACAAAAATGTAATACTATGTTTACGTTTGAACATTGAATCTGTTAATGATTTAGATATACCAGAAATGATTGCAGATCTAACATATTCAAGTGGATCTGAATTTTCATACAATTTTAATTGAATTTTGGAGATTTTAACCATAACAGAATCAGGTTTTTATTTAGAATGATGGAATTAAAATTGTTCGATATTACGTGCAAGCTGATCAAGCTCGAGACGAATAGCTTCCGGTAAATCATCGCCAACTTGGGCATCGAAATACTTTTTAAGGTCATCAACTTCCTTCTGCCAGAAACTTTTCGATAATCTGAACAATTCCTCCATGTTAACGTTTTCTCTCATGTTGTCCAGATTAAAGGAGTCTAATTTTGGTAGTAAACCGATCGGAGAATCCATCGCGACGTCCTCGCCGTCGATCCTCCGGAGAATCCAATCCAGGACACGAGAGTTCTCACCGAAACCTGGCCAGAGGAATTTACCGTCTGCTCCTTTCCTGAACCAATTCACGTGGAATATCGCTGGTAGTTTAGCATTTTTCACATTGGCCATGCTCAGCCAATGACCGACGTAATGTCCAAAATTGTAGCCGAAGAAGGGCCTCATCGCGAATGGATCGTGCATGATTACCTTACCCTGATCATCAATTATTCAATATATATTAGCATGTACAATTAAACATTTATCCGCTAATTACATATATCACATACCTGATGTTCTGCTGCAGCAGTCGCCTCGGATCTCATTGCTGCTCCTATGAAGACGCCATGCTGCCAGTTTCTTGCCTGATAAATCAAAGGAACACCTTCAGGTCTGCGGCCACCGAAGAGTATAGCATCTATAGGAACCCCATTTGGATCTTCCCAAGCAGGATCAATGATGGGACACTGGCTGGCTGGTGAACAGAATCTGGAATTTGGATGTGCAGCAGGTGTCTTGGATCCCCTGTTCCACTTATTACCCCTCCAATCGGTGATCTGCTCAAAATATCACTTCTTAGATAATATTTACCACTATCACTGTCACTGTTAATCTCTGATCTCTATACCTCAATGTCTTCACTGATCTCTTTCTCCAATCCTTCCCAGAAAACTCCACCGTCGCTGGTAGCAGCCACATTAGTGAAGATTGTATTCTTGAAGATGGTCTTCATGGCGTTTGGGTTTGTGGCGTAGCTGGTCCCAGGTGCCACGCCGAAGAATCCGTTCTCAGGATTGATGGCGCGAAGTCTTCCTTCTTTGTCGAACTTCATCCAGGCGATGTCGTCGCCGACGCACTCGATTTTGTAACCGGGTAGAGTAGGCTGCATCATAGCTAAGTTGGTCTTTCCGCAAGCGCTGGGAAACGCGGCGGCCACGTAATGTTTTTTACCTTTTGGGCTCGTGATACCCAGTATCTAGAAAAGGTAACTGATACAGAATCTCTTTAGACGAATGAACAAACTCGTGAGCACTGAGTAACGATTGAAAAGAAAAAGATGACTCGAAGGATAAATGATATTCAAAGTAAGCATTAATACGGTGTTACGTACGAGCATATGCTCTGCAAGCCAGCCCTCGTCCCTGGCAATGGTCGAGCCGATTCTCAAGGCGAAACATTTTTTACCAATCAAAGAATTTCCACCGTAACCGCTTCCGTAAGAGGCTATCTCGTTTTTCGCTGGGCTATGTAGAATGATGGTTCTTTCAGGATCGCATGGCCATGAAGGTATTACGTCGACTTTCGAATTTGATTTTGGAACACCAACAGAGTGCAAGCACTTGACGAAATCGTTGTTTCCAAGAGCCTCGAGGACCTTCTTTCCCATTCTGGTCATTATTTGCATAGAACAAACGACGTATGGAGAGTCTGTGATCTGTATTCCAATTTTTGACAGAGGCGAACCCAATGGACCCATGCTGAACGGGATCACGTACATTGTTCTGCCTATAATGATTATACAGGATATTCTAGGTTTGTCTCGACTTACGTTACGAAGAACTAAACACACCTTGTATTTTATTTTGTTAAGTAACAGATAGAATGAACGTAAGACCACAAGTAACTGACCTTTCATGCATCCAGGAAAACGTTCTAGAATAGCTTTGTCCATATCAACCGGAGAAATCCAGTTACCCAGTTCTCCGGTAACACCATCGCGTGCCGTTGGTATCGTATCACGCCTTGACTCGGTGCTAATGAAGGTGCGTTTCTCAACGCGTGCTACGTCCGCCGGATTCGTTCTGGCGAGCCAACTAAAAAAGCAAATGAGATATTGCAGCTACTAAACATCTGGAAAACTTGGAATTCGTTCGATCTAATATCGTCCGATCCTTATGAGACGAGTGTCGTTTCAACAGATGTTGGAAAATGGCCAAAGAAAAGCATTGCTAGAAATATCAAGACGGCAATCGCGAATAACTTCTTTCAATTACTAACGTACCAAACATATTTTATTATATATACTAATTCATTCATAAAATATACTTACCAATTCTCATATTTTGGCAGGGGCAAGATGGTTCCACTTTGCTCGAGGAGCTTCAATTGCTGATGATATTCCGCATCGCTTCCGTCGCAAATGTAAATATCCTTTGGACAGCAAATTGATGACCATTCCTCGATGTACGATCGAAGTTTCGGCGCGAGAGGTTCCGTCAGTGTGTTTAGCAATGGTGTTTTTCCAATGTATTCGTAATTGTTGTTAAGGGACGGATTTTTTGCCGCATGGGTGACCAATGTTGACACCCTGTGAATAGGTAATGTTAATATTTATTTCATTGATAAGATTCTTGTAAAAACATGCTCGCTGTACATTTAACACCTGTTTGTTTTAGGTATGGGATATCAGAGTAACAGGTGGTTTTACGAAGTACCGCGTTAATAACACGTCGATCGATTGGCTCTTACTCCATCACTATAGCATAAATCTTGTCAAGTGAAAAAATGAATTTTCACATAGCCAATCCGCAAGGTAATGAAACGTTCATGCATTCACTTTGTCATTGATGTTATATGGTAAAAGATTATCATTGTTTTAATATACTGCGATGAAACTTAATTAGTTTTTATAAAAAAACGACTTGATTCAATATAAACGCAGGCTTGAGAAACCATGGTAAGAAGATTAAACGTATTGAAAAATGTACTTAAAAGAAAAGAGAAAAATGCAACGTCATTGTTGTTGAAAGTTTATTCATAATATTTTTACAGAAGACGGTAATTTTATTTTGTTTACTTCGCGGCATCATTGTAAATAAATGTTGCACGTAAATTGCGTAATGACGATAGCGTTGCATTAGATCCTAAGATAAGATTATATAATAGAAGCCTAATATAGTTAACTGAATGGTTTCTTTGCAAAGGTAGTTTTTTCCATCTAATCCACACCGTTAGTTTTTATATAACAATTCTGTTCGATCAACAAATTGAATTATTCGCACTTGAACGGATATGAAGAGTACAGTTCAATCAATTTCAAAGCATCAAAATAATATTTTCTCAGATGCCGGTTACGCGTGTTAAACGAAACTCTAATAAAAAATATAAAATTACAGATTCTGGAAGGCATGGAATGTTCGAGCGTCAAAATGTGTTTAAAATCAAATTACACCGCATGAAAGGAACGAAGATCTCGCCCCAAAACATGGTAATTTTCCAAAGAAAACGTACTGCTTTTTTAAGAGAAATACTCAAGAAAATAAGCACAGCTTACTCACCGCGGGTGGTAAACGTCGACACACGCGTGCGGCATGTCGAGTCTCTTTCCACAGCCGGGATGAGTTCGATGGCTCAGAATCGCGAACCGTGCTGACTGTCGTTTAATCTCGAGGACATTGATCGATTGACCAATTCTAGAATACCGAAGACTTCCCGGATGAACGATAGAAGATCTTCTGAAAGAGGCAGCTACCACGGAGAAGTTCCTGGTTACGTTTATACCCTTTCTAACGAGACTCGACCAGCGAATCGGATCGATTTTCGCCGACATCTCTGTTGCTGGTCGCTTTTATACGATCGTCAAAGATACCGGCGAGTCCTGGTGGCTCGTTTCGCCTATTGGCCGGTCGCACTTCCGGTCGGTATAGTGGGGAGAGATGGAACGCTGGCGGAATCGGCCGCGGACTTCGGATCACTCGTTCAGGGATCGCAATTGACCTGATTGTTGGCCTTTTTGCAGATCGTGCCTTGGTGCAGACGATGATGCAAACACCGTAGATGCGATTTCGAGATGGCAAGACGAATCGAAAAAGGTCCCTGAACAGAGGAACTTCCCGGCGATTCGCGACGCGTCTGCGGCCGCGAGTGACCGAACGACTCGACTCTGTTCCAAGCTGAGGTTTAATTGGAACACCGGCCGACAGACGACGCGGAGACGGTAAAAAGTACACGTAGGAGCTGATTGATCGGAACTCGACGCTGTCAGTAGTAGTCCTTGAGATTTTCTTCGACAGCTAATCGAGTAAAGAGCTGCCAAATTCGGTCGCAGCTGGTCGCAGCTGTTCAAAAAGGACTGTACTCTTGATCACACGGTTACGGATAGACTGGGCTCGAGCAATACGGTTCGAGAAGTAAAAGCAATCGCGGGCGCGATTAATCGGCCCACGCCTTGCATTAAAACGAAATCGGTTGGTTGGGCCGGTCGGGTTTTATAATGAAAGCGTTACTGCTACTTGCTCTTCTATTTTTGCGCGAACACTTTCGCTTTTCGCTATCTAG